TGGAAGATAAACGAATCGCACTGCTTGACAAGATTGCTGATTTTGTTTATTTCGTTCGTGGAGAGTACTTGTCTGATATTTAAACACTTTCCTGTTGCGTATTTGAGGTTACACCAAGGTGCCAGGGGCGGGAAGGGTGTGATATGTTAAGGGATATAATCCCACATCGAATAAAGATAAAAATATAGACCAACTTATAAGGTCTTTGGCTATTTCTCTTAACAAGGTTGACCTTTTAAAATAGAACTCTAAGTCTTAACATGGTATTAAACCCCATTAAACTCCAACGAGCGATTTGATCCGATTAAGACTTAATAAATGAGCATACGGATTTCAAAATTGGTCTGTCCAAACAAGCTACCACCTTGCGGGGGCATATTAAGAGATATAATCTCACATCAAATAAAGATGAAAATATAGATAAACTTAGAAGATCTTGGGGTTCCATCTGAAATTTTTATGAGATTCCATGGGCACAAGACTTACAACATTGTGTTAATTTTTCAAATAGTTACACCATGAATGCTGAATCTTTCGAATCTTGACCTTATGAAAATCACCTCTTTGTTAATAAGAAAATCCACAAAGACAGCTTATTTTCTTTATTTTTGCGAATATGTAGGAGCTGTTTCTTTCATTTTAGTTACAAAAGTAGTAGTTGATCTATAATACTCAATATCTTTTGGAGGTGTGAATCATTTTCAACTTACCCACGTACCTCTGACCTACTTCATGCACGTTCAAAATTGAGGCAATTGGTTGTAGCCCGGAGGATTTGCTGATCGAAATGGACCGAATGCTAAGGCCTGAAGGATTTGTCATCATAAGAGACAGACCTTCTACCATAAACCATGTACGAAATTGGGTTAATAACACAAAACGTCCATGCGTTTGACACTTATTGCGGAAAACATCCCTACGTTTTATTTTTTTGCATTTTCACCCTTATTTCAACGTTTTATTACAAAAAATATCATTTTCACCATTTTTAATGTAAAATGACCTAAATACCCTCCTATTTAAATGAAACCAAAAAAGAAAAGAAAAATAAAGAATAAATTGCAATCTTACTCCTAAATATTTTAAAAAGTGCAAGAGAGTCCAAATAATTATTAAAAAGTCTAATAGCAAAAAACGTTCATATGTTTGGCCTGTAGTTTGCAAAACATTCTTATGTTTTAAATTGGTGAAAATGACGTTTTCCACAATGAAACGTGGAAATATGAATGAAAATGAAAAAAAAAATTGAAACATATGGACGTTTTTTGCAAGAAGAGTCAAACGTAAGAACTTTTTGTGCGATTAGGCCTTCGTAAAATTGAAACCATCGCCCAAACCGCTGAACCTCCGTACTATTTTCAAAATATCATAACCCAAACTCCAACAGCACCACCTGTACGGGAAAGACCGATGCCATTTCAAACACATTAATCGATTATACTCATCAGGGTACCTTTCTTCATGGTCTTAAAATATCAACAGATGCTTCAACACTATGGAGGTTTGATGGTTTGGGCGATGGTTAGTCAGAGTATTTTCACTTCTAAAGTGATAGTCCCATTTGGAGAAGAAGAGGAGAGAGATTTTTTTTTATTTTTTTTTTAATATTTTAATAAGGTCTAATAGCAGAAAACATCTCTATGTTTGACACTTGTTGCAAAAAACGTTTCAACTCTTTTTTTTCATTTTCATCCCTATTTCCACATTTCATTGTGAAAAATGTCATTTTCACCAATTTGAAATGTATGGACGTTTTGCATACTACAGGCCAAAAGTAGGGATATTTTGTGCTATTAGGCCTTTTGATAATTATTTAGATTCACTTGCACTTTTTACAATATTTAGGAGTAAGATTGCAATTTATTATTTATTTTTCTTTTCTTCTTTGATTTATTTAAATAAGAAGGGTATTTTGGTCATTTTACATTAAAAATGATGAAAATGACGTTTTTTGCAATGAAACGTTGAAATAAGGACAAAAATGTAAAAATAAATTAAATGTAGGAATGTTTTCCGCAATAAGTGTAAAACGTAGAGATGTTTTGTGCTATTAACCCTACGAAAATTCTTGGCTGCCTTATAAAATGGAATGGATGGGTATCGAAGGTGAAACCTAGTGCTGATGGTCTCTCCTCGAGTGAAGAGTTTTGATTGCGAGAAAGAAATTGCGGAAGGATAATACAGAGTTGTGCGTCTGCTTGCTCTAAAGGTATAATATAGTTCTTTCTTTAAGTTATTAATTTTTCAATGGAAAATGATCTTTCTTTCACAACTCTGTCACAATGTGGATTTAAGCTCTCACAATGTTGTAGTAATCTTAGCTATTTCATCTAGTGCCCCAAATACACGCACATAACTATTTCTGTGTATATCATCTAATAACTGCTCTCGATACTTCTAGCCTCTTAAGTAGTCTCATCATCGACATTAACCTAAGAAATTGACTTGATTATGGGAGCATGCTCTGATGTGGTAATTGATATGATCTTCATGTATGTTTTGAGTTCCAATTTTTAGCAGGTCAGTCCTGTCTATTTTTCAATTTGTCTGTCTTTACCATGTATCTAGATGTACACGGCGACTAATACAAATTATATGCGCAGAAACTTGAAATCGTTAGGAAGACTGATGGTCATTTTTTGTTTGGGAACAATATCATAGATTTCTGCAGAAGCGCAGCCATGTTATAAAGTTATGAATCGACCATCTTGGATCCGATGAGGCAAACGGGAACCTTCCTTTTGTTCATAATATCTGCGCTTTCTTGCCTACGTACTTCAAGAAATGAATATTTTGCCAGTCTGACGTTTTTCATGGACCGAAGCCCCGATTATCGTTGCTCAATATATAACACAATTTTGGCAACCGTGGAGCAGTCATTTCTATGTTTTGACGTGCAATTCCTTCGTTTCTATCCTTGAATATATATTTCTTCACATTTCTGAAGATGGCCATTCCCATCCTTTTGTTGAAGGTCTGTCGTAGATTTAGATGTTGGTTACAGCCTGACCTCTTCGTGCTAATGTTTGACAAATTGTGATGCCTTTGTTCATTGTTATAAAAGCCATTTTTTGTAATTCTAAAGGCGACCAGATTTGGAGCTAGTACTAGTCTACGTGGCAGTGGACTCCACTACCTCATCATCTAATGCATTAATATGTATCCCAACTCCACTGAACGAAGACTCAAACGAGAACCCACTGCCATACAAACTGATGCTTACAACCACTCGTCCTAAATAGGATTATAAGTACGGAAAAAGTTGTTGAGAGAGTTAAAACACAACACAAAATAAAATTGCAAAGGTCAGACAATGAGACTCGTCTTCATTCATAACTAATGTCACATTTATCAAGAAACTGTACATAAACATGCAAACACTGTAAGGGAGGAAAAGAAGACATCTTGTAAATACCATGCATATAATTTTTCATCTTTTGTTTTTTAGAGCTAAAAGGTCGGTCCTTTTTTCCTTTAGCATTTAGGAATTGTGCATCAGAGCAGTCTAAATGTGATAGAAAGACATGATTTGCAAATTCTGCTGACGACCCTTTATCAGGCAACATCTATCTTCTTTTTCTTCTTCCTCGAGGCAAAATTACTGGGTCCAATTTCCAGGGACATCCGCTTTGTTCTGCAACGAAAAGAAACAATATAATGCGTGCCATGAACAAGGACAGACGCCATAGTTATTTTGTGCCGAGATAGAGAGAATGAAATTCTAAGACATTAAAAATCTCTTTGCATTCGCTATTCATCTCCTGATCTCTCTAACAAGATATGCACCCCTGAACTTCACCTCGAGGGCTGCTCTTTTATATTCCTGCTATCATCTATGCTAAAAGAAGTACATAAAAAGAGTGAAATATGCAGTTAAATAAGAGAACATACCGTTTGGAGAGTTCCCTGGCATCGTTCTTACCATCTTCAGCTCCTTCATCTGTTGGAGAAAAATTCACCGCATTACAAAATATTACGGCCTAAAATTTTTAGGATATAAGAAATTTCAAAAGCCAGAAAACAATGATATGAATACTTCTTTTATTTGCTTAAGAATCAAGTTGGTCGAGGTATTTATAAGGGAAATTTACAGAAAGGTAGATGACTCCAATCTGATGAGTCTGCTATTTCATTAGTTTCAGCACCTAGAGCTCTGCAACTATCAGATGAAACAGTAAAAACTAACTCATAAAGCACTTAACTTGAAGGTCTCAATAACATAGATAAGCAGCAGTAAGATGCAAGGATTCTTGTTCGCATAAAAATTGCTACTTTACCACATAAATAAGAAATAATTTAGTCCAAAGAAGTCGAACAATAGAATAATTTCTTGACATTGCATCAGTTGTATTTGTAATACATTCGGAAAAGTAAGAAGCAAAAAACATGTCCTGTTCTGATGAGTTATTCAGCCTGTATCATCCCCAAAGTTCAGTAGTATACTCTCTCCTCCCCCCCCCCCCCGCCCCCAAAAT